CACCGTTCGGCGAATGCACTACACAGGCAGTTTCGTAGTTGTGCTTAGCCGCGTTCACGCCGTCGAACGGAAAAGAGATAGACAGCTAGCCTAGCAGGCAGCAGCCGGCGACGAGCCGCGGGAGACGTTTACGCGCTTTCGGCGGTTCCTCGTACGGGTTTCCGGTAGCTGTGTGCGGCAGCCGGCGCCCGACGCGACGGCCGGCGAAGCCCGCTTTGCGTGCGTGAAGTGCCTGCGGACGTGCGAGCGAGGGGAGCCACACGCGAGACGACAGGAGGCGAGTGAGACGATCGGACGGGTTTGCGGTCGGTCAATCGGACGGACGACACGTACGGCACGGTCGATCCGCGAACGACACGGTGAGACAGCAACGAGATAGAAACGAGCGCGGCCTACGAGCGATCTTCCCTGCGTGTCTGATGAGCTCCTCCGCCGCGCCGCTGCTGGTGGTAAGATGGCTGTGCAGCTGGACGGAGGAGGGAAGGAGGATCTGAAAACACAGTTTGTCACGCGGGAGGGCACGTACAAACTGATGACCCTGTCGGAGTACTCGAGACCGAACCGGGTCGGCTACACCAACAGCCAGGGCAGCGCGTCCGTCAGGGTGTCCTTCGTCACGCTGCCGGACCCAGCGGATCCCACGGGCGCGCAGGGCCTTGGCGACCGAATGTGCTTCAACTTCGGCAAGGAGCTCTACGTCTACGTCTACCGCGGTGTCAAGAAGGTGAGTCCGGTGATGCGATCGCGGCCGCGACGATGGCGAGGCGCGACGTGTTTTGCCCTTCTCGATCGTGTGAGCTGTCGTCGCGACCTAACCTCGCAAATGTCGTGACGGGGACTCCATCTTTGCGGTTGCCTCGTCACCACGCCTTGCACGAGGATGTCGTGTCCTCAGCGACGATAAACGCGACGTCGAGAGAATTTTCATTGTGGTCGGCCTGCGTTGGAATCGTCGCTGCGTTTTTTTATTTGCGAAACAAAGCTGACATCTCGGCGGCGATTGCTCGAGCTGGCACTTCTCGGAAGTGTTATGAGTACCACGTAATATCGTGATCACTCTGTAGATAGCATAATAGATAATACTGTTGCTTCAATTCCTAGTATTCAAGTCATTGATTTATATATGTAAAATTAAAAACAGGATAAACGAATAAAACTGCTTTATGAAGATTTTAAAAAACTATTAATTGTTACAGACAACACATTTCTGAATTTCTGAAAAGTTTCTAAAATAAAATACTTTTTTTATAAAATTATTGTACATATGTCTCTGGCCAATTTTCTGTATTATCATTAGAAAGGAAGCTATATATTATGGAAAAAATTTCATTGCAGAAACAGAAAAGAAAAACCAACACGTTGTTGATATATTTCAGGCTGTGGACTTGAACAAACCAGTGGATAAAAAATTGTACAAAGGGACTAATCCGACCTGCCACAATTTTAATCAAACAACAGCGACAGCGGATAGTGCTCCACTGCTGGTGGGATTTTCCACAGGACAGATACAGTTGATCGATCCGATAAAGAAGGAACTCAGCAAGCTGTACAATGAGGATGTATGTAAAAGTTAATTTTGGCATAAATCATAAATTTTTATCAGAATCGATCTTTGAGGAAAAGTTCTCTGCTGCATTCCGCTCACTAGTCAAAGAGAGAAAGATAGAGAATTTTACGTCTGCATTATCTGCAGGCTAGCTCACATCGAGATAAATAATCTGATAGTTCAAACAATGATCTCTCTATACAGCTAGCATATGTCATAGTTTCTTAGCAATGTGTGTAAAAGCTGTCAGCACTTGTCCAATCTTGATATGTGTGCGTATATATATGTTATCTTATTGAAACATGATAAACTGCAATATGAATACGAAGATACTCTTCAGGACACTTAAAACTATCTATTATATCCTGCAATGGCGGTAGCCTAATATTCAGCACATTGCACAGACTATTCCGTGCTGCGGTAGGCCCGTACACTAATGCAATTATAACTCAATCAAATAATTAAGCTCAACAAGCAACATTATATAACTTTCCGCTATCTTCTCATGGCAGTCGTGGGCTTTAGCGGCCGACAATTGTGCCATCTATTTAAAATACATTTTAGCTTCAACGAATGTTAGATAATTTGCTAATATTGTTTTTAATCGTTATATTTTAAGATACATTTAATTCTTGATCCTTGATGCTGATCAATGTTCAAGTTACATTATCGTTTTATTTTCTTTTTATCTTCGCTTGTCTATCACAATCTTGTATCTGTTGAAAAAATGCGGATTTATTATTGATTATCACTATTATTGTATGGAATATTTCTCATAAAATCTTAATTAATCATACATGCGAAAGAAAAATGATAAATCCTAAAATTTGTCGACAATATTAATTTTATACTTGTACAGGATGTGGAATATATTTTTTTACAATAAGAAATATTCATATTTCAGAGGTTGATAGACAAGAGCAAAGTGACATGCATCAAATGGGTTCCCGGCTCAAACAACCTGTTCCTGGTATCTCACAGCTCCGGCCAATTGTACCTCTATAACGAAGAGTTGCTCTGCGGCAACACCGCGCCGCATTACCAATCGTTCAAGTCGGGTGACGGATACGCCATATACACCTGCAAGACGAAGTCTACCAGGAACCCACTGTACCGGTGGGTGATTGGCGCGGAAGGTTCTTGCATAAACGAGTTTGCCTTTAGTCCGTGCGGTACGAACTTAGCCGTGGTATCCCAAGATGGATTTCTGCGCGTATTTCAATACAATACCATGGAGTTGGTGGGCTCGGCGAGGAGTTACTTCGGTGGCTTTTTGTGCGTGTGCTGGTCGCCGGACGGACGTTACGTGGTGGTGGGCGGCGAGGACGATTTGGTGACCATCTGGAGCTTCCACGAAAAGCGCGTTGTGGCGCGGGGACAAGGCCATCACAGTTGGGTGAGCGTAGTCGCCTTTGATCCGTACACTACGTCGTACGGTGATCACGATCCCGACTTTAGCGGCTCGGACGACGAGACGACGATGCCGCACAATAATCATAATCACTTCCACGAGAAGTCGCACCGTCTGTCGACGACCTCGCAGGGCGGCGGTGGCGTCCACTCGAACCGGAACTCCTGTGGCTCGGAACTGAGAATGTCGGGCGGTACATGCTACAGGTTAGGCAGTGTATCCCAAGATACCCAATTGTGCCTGTGGGATATCACAGAGGACGTACTGAGGCAGCCGGTGTGCGCCAAGCAGAGGCCCTCCGCGGCGGGCAGCACCAGCGGCACTCTGTCATCCTCGGGTACGTTTAACAGTGGCAACGGAACGGCGACGGCGAACCATCATTCGAACTCGAATGCTAAACACAATAATTCGAATAACGTTAATTACAAAGAGAACGCGAGTGGTAATAACGAAACTAGTAACAATAGCACGGGCACGAACGCCGCAGTGGCGACCGTGAACTCGTTGACGCAGAGGCTAGCGGGTCTTGGTTTCGGCGAGCGTAAAGGTGATAATCACAAGAGAAACTTTAGCCTCACTATGCGAGGCGGCACTGGTGCGACGGCAGCGGCGGCCAACAACAGTACGACAACGGTCGTGCAGAACAATGGTGGCGACAAGGCGAGCACCGGCAGCTCGACGAACACGACGAGTAGTAGTCTGAACAACAGTGTCGGTGGGGGTTTAGTAGGTGGGACGGGCAATAAAAAGGTTAGTTCCGTGATGGACGATCCCATGAGGTTGATAGGGACCGCCTGGTGTCCCAGGTTCGACGAGTGCCCGGTCCTCGAGCCGCTGGTGTGCAAGAAGCTGGCGCACGAGAGACTGACTGAATTAGTGTTTAGGGAAGATTGCTTCGTGACGGCGTGTCAGGACGGATACGTGTACACGTGGGCGAGGCCCGGCCACATGGTAGGTCCTCTCACGATAAGCAGCACCCTGCACAGGCCATCACACCATCATAGCAACAATCCCTACACTAGTAATATCAATTCCATGCGATGTAACGACCTCTGATGTAACCCGTTACCTCCAAATCGTTATTTAGCAAGTCCGTCATGTAGAGAAGAGTCTGTTAGTTACTGAAAAATCCTGTACATACATACATCAAGTTAGAATTTAGGATGATGTTATCGTGACGAAAGTGGCACGGGATAAACTTGTAATGCTTTAGATAGTCTCCCTGTTGCCTGTTGTGGTTGCGGGAAGACGTCTTGAAAACGAACGACTGTTTCGGCTCGGAAGTATTAGAATGAGACACACTTGACGAATTCGGTATTATCTTTGCCGGGTGTTTGATACGACGATCGCGTCGCTGTTATTTAAGTTTTATATCATACGATCAGTATATTTAATCTTAGAGAATCCCTAATTCACGTTTAGGTCTACGACCCTTAGGATAGATACTTGCGTTTGAGTTCTATTAGTATTGGGAGGTGCCATTCAAATGGAAATATTGAAGATTTTTTAGTATTTTTGTCTAAGTTTACATTGTATATGGATTACAGAAATATATGGACGGACGATACTATGAGTGAACAAATCGGTAATTTGAAAACGCAGCTGTTATCCAGACCCGTGATAATTTTGCTGGGCGTTTTAGTACAATTATTTTTTAATCTCTCGCTGATTATATAATAATAAATGAAACTTGTCGGACAATCTTGCCTTTCGCTCAAAACATTCCATTAGATCGGTATATTCAATGTATACTCGAATACAAATTTGCTGTTAAAAATGCATGAATTAGATAGAGACTTCAGATTAAGTAGAGTAGAGCGCGCACATTATTAACATAGTTTTTATTAATATTTCGTTTCAATAAAAGGACGTGCTTTAACTTCTATTTAGATCTTACCAATAAAATGGTATAGTGCATGCGTTTTGCGAATAAAAAAAAAACACACATGTGTGCTTAAAGTTCATTCATAGTATAGGCTGTCGTTAATTATCTGTGCCTAATGATGGTCTGGTCAAGATATATTCTCGCGATGAATATTGCAGAGCTACGCGAGCTAGGATAGAATATTGAATACTGATATATTTATGTTTTTGGTTTGCATCCTTGAGAGCAATGTTATTTGAGCCCTACGAGGCCTCGTGACAGGGCAGGCCCCTTTATCGAAGAGAACCTTCTTCCTATCTTCTGTAAAATGTTATTAGTTTAGTTTAGCCGAGTATAAAGAGAAAGAGAGAGAGAGAGAGAGAGAAAGAGAAAAAAAAAAGAGAGCGAGAGAGAGAGAGAGTCAACGAAAAATTACTTAGCAAAACTATCGTCTCTTATCTTCGACTTATGATACGAAGTGCGAGAACATTTAATCCTTTGTTGAAAACAATGAATTTTGCCTTGTTGTACAATAAAGCGAAAATTTGAATGAACGATCGCTGCTTGCTTCCCGCTTGTTGAGATTTTGTTCAATCAAGTGCAATGCAGAAGCTCCAGGGAGAACGGTCGGGGAAGTCGTTTGAGAGACACATACATATGTATACATACATATGTATAGTGACACGTAAGATAACGTTCATTTACAATTTGCCGTATCGCATGTTTCTTTTTCTTTTCTTTTTTTTTTCACATTATACTTTCGACAATACTAGGTCCCGAAATTAAGGCTCGAATAGTGTTTCCTGGCGTTTTGCATACAGCATTTGTATCACGAAAACACCCCACACTCACCCCTTCATTTTACAGTTTTGACTAAAAGTATGAGGCAGCCTCGATAAATTGCGTCTTGTTGAAATTAGTCAGCGCTCTCGCAAATTGCGATAAGCACTGCAACGCGATTGTCAATCAAGTGCTCGAAGAACGTGCTACTCCGATTGATCCACGTGTATACGCTAAACCGTTTGATACAATTTATTAAAAATAGCAGTGTCTCACGCTTTTGGCCAATGCCGTGAATACCCCAACTAATTACGATAAAGTTCATTATAGCGTGCGTTGCTTCTTTGATAGCGCGACTTATAATTTTCAATTAATAGCGCGTTTTATAATTTTAATCAGACGATGCTTGCGCTTATTTCTCAAAGCCGATGAAGCATTAATTCCTTTTTCTCACTTTTGATTGATCGGAAAGATTAATGTTCTGTACCACGCTTTGGCTGATGCAAGAGAATATCGTGGATGAGACTTCCCTGATTTATCGCATGGTACGTATGACTTATCATTTTTTTGTTCTATTTCGCTTTTATTTACCGCTTGATCGGACTTGTGATGAAAAGTAGAATAGTATACACGCTCGAAGTCGTTCACACACGTTCTTGCCGAGAGATCCCTCGGCGGCGCTTCTGAATTTTTACATCACGAAATCGCACTATACTTTTCTGCTCTCACGCATTTGCCAAATTTCTTTATTCCCGAAAAGTTTTCGGATGATAGTTGAAAAAAAACCTGCATGTCCATAATATAGACAATTTAACAAAAGTATAAACTTTTAATGTTAACGAAAGCATAAATTCTTTATCCTAATTGAGATATAAGTTCCTAAATCAGGGATTGTCTTGTCAATCATTGAAATTCTTTTAATATTTATTTCAATCTCAATATTATCTTAAATAATCAATTTTAAAAAATCTATAAATTTTCAGAATTATAATTAATCGCTTATATCTCATGTATGCGTCAACTTTTCGGGGATAAGCGTGCGTTCGATATCAATGACGAAGATCAGAAGCGCGTTATTCGTGTGTCGGTGTCCTGTGTCTGCGAGAGATTCATGCTCTCTCTGATTTCAGCCGGGAATCGGCCAGGTCGGCGGCGCCGCTCTCCATGTGGTCAGCCCGGCGGAAGGCGGCGGTACCATAGTATAGCCAGAGCCGGACATCGACGCCGGTCCGTCACGAGATCATCAGTCCGAGGCGCAATTCCAGCAGGCGTACGCGCGCCGACGTCACCTCTACTACGTGTGGCCGAGCGAGAGTTACTCCGATACGGTTTGAGCGAGCGGTTCCACCTCGGCATCGTCGCTCGGCCAGGAAGCAGACGGATCGAAATGAGAATTCGAAGGAGATCCATTTCCGTGAGATTGAACGTCTTATCTTGAAAATTAGAAATTGATTTTATAACTTCTGGACTGCCTTTCTTAATTTCAATACACCTGGAATCGACAATATACAGGTAAATTAAATGTGGAATGGAAAGGAAGCTATCTTTATTTATTTTATTTCCGATTGTTTTTACTGTAAAATTAGGATAAATGAATAAGAATTTAATAATGTGCTAATATCCGATATCGAAAATCGATTCGAAACTCGCGAAGTGGATTTCTGCGAATTCTTTTCAAGTTGTTTGCGGGGCGCAGCTCACGCGTAGCTTAATGCTTGAAAAAAAAAACACACATACTCACACATACAGCGCTTTCGTTTCGGTAAGCCGCTCTTCCGGTGCATATCGTTTCCTCTTCTTCCTCTTTTCCTTCTTTCCCTCGGTACTGTCGCGGCGGCGACGATGTTACGCGACTTCGCGCCTCTTTCAACGCGGAGATCCGCGAGTCGAAAGCAATTTGTGTATACATGTACATACGTATACCTGTGTATGTCTGATGATGCGTTGTGTACCATTCCGAATAAAGTTTGCTCCAGTAGGCAAAGCACGTGCGTCTCGATCGGCGGGACGCGTCGGTTTCGGCGTTTCACCGACAGCGTTTTTTCCGTGTATTTATTGTTTGAAGCGTTGAAATTTATATAGACCTAAGCCACAAAGAGTCGATTTTAGGAGGCAGATTGAAAGGATAGTCTAGAGAATATATTCTATAAGCCATAACGAATAACTCGCTCTAACTTGCTCATTGCGATGCCATACATTGAACGATTGTCCGACAACATGAACGTTTGTAAAATACATTTTAGAAATGTGTAAAAGAATTTTTTAGACGTCCTTTCGAGTCGCTTTGCGTGATTGCGGATGTAGTTAGAAAACATTCCCTCATAGGACAATTTTGTTAAACTGGTTTTTTTAGGTAGAAGTGTGACTTGGGTCTCTATCATTCTCAGTGCTTCGATTTCGTTCGATTACTTCGAAGGAGATATTCCGCAAGGCGATACTAGTTTTTAATTTACGTATAAATACACGTTAGGAGTTATATTGTATTGATAACGAAAGTGCAACATTAATTTACATTGTTATAAATCAATTGCCTGTCCCCGGACGGACAGTTCATTTCGTCGATTAGCTTTGATCACGAGCATTCCTGCGCGTTTCAGGGATTAAGTATCTACACCGTTATTATATTTTCTCACGAAGCTCTTTAATTTATATCTGCGCAATAATTTGTCGCCACACCGTTTACTTGAATTTTATCCACTTTCAAAGATTTGATATGAAAAGGCTGTAAATCAATCATTATCGGAAACTTGCTTTTTATTGGGAAACTTTCTGCGGCGAGGCCGACAACGCATTAAAAGCTTCAATTGCTATTTATGAAATATTAAATAGATACAAAAAACTATCTTTTTCTGCAGCATTTTTTTTCAGACATAAATAAAATATTGTTCGGCTTTTTCCAAGATTTTCGTTTTTAATATTTACAGCTTTCTTTCATGTCAAGTCTTTCTTTTCTAAATGTTGAACGTTGAACACCTCCACGTTTCGCTATGTTTCGTAACATACAACGTACGTACCGTCGCAAAAATTCCATCAAGATGCTGATATATTACCGATAAGAAGACGATAAGATTTTTCGTTTCGATATTTTTGTTCTCGTACGGTGGATTACCTTACTTCGAGGCACGATGACGAAATTGTATTATTATTCTAGCAAGTGCAAGCTCGTTGAAGGTATGCTGTGATATGTGTGCTGTACATGACGACACTGATAAATGATCCAAGCGACGAAAGTCACTTCCAAGCACTCCGTCGTGCACCGAAACGGACGATCGAACTTGTATAACACGTAACCGCTGATTAGTTTCTTACTCCATAGGCAACAGCCGAAGTCGGCCTGCGACACACCAGACTATAATTCATCTCACGATTCTGCAAGAAAAAGAGACGGATGAATTTAAACGGATCGAAAGATGGAATTTCATTTCTGATCGTATCGATTATATCTAATCTTCGACATCGGAGATTAAAATCTTGAAATTCTTTCCGATATACTAATTAGCAATATAATTGAATTATAAAAGTGATTTATTTTAATACATTTTAATTCCGAGTCAAAAATTTATTTCTCCTTCAATTATGTATTTTTTATTCTTCTAAAAATAATAGAAAAAAATTTAACAGTCCAATTTTTGATATGGAGGATTTTTTTAGATTAAATTTCTACCGATTCTTTATAAGTTCATCCCCTCTTGCGGAGGAGAGACCGCGATTTATAAAGTTCCTATTTCGTAAGCTAAATGGCGAGTACGCGCTTTGAGGCGCTTGATTTTTGGCCGACGATCGATTCCTGGCGGAAATGTGTTCCTTGCACAGGACACGTAAAGAGCAATGAAGCTGAAATGATTTTTCGGATTGTACACGATGGACGTGTGCGTGAAAAAATTAACGTGTATTTAAAATGAATGAGAGGTTTGAGATTTCACTTTTCTAGGCATGATCTCTCTTTTGGGAATTTGAGATGCTTGTATAAAACAAAAGGTATCTGTATTCAATTGATTTGAAAGATCACACTACGGCAAAACCGATTCAACAACTCGTACCATGGTTTCTCTTAGACCCGCAACGACGTTCTCGCCGTCGTGTAAAAAACAGGAAACTTCTTCTCGTCTACGATGTATCGAGACGAAAGTAACACACGAATAATAATTGCGACGTTGTAAGCCGCGCTGTTCTGTAACAAGTCACAGACGGCACTCACAAACAATTAAATAATTAGCTCGTCTCGTAAATTGCTGGTAACAGAAGACATGTAATTCATTGCTAAGTGGAAAATTGCATGTAAATTAGTCATTTCAGAAAAAATACACGCATTTATCCTCTTGTCCGAGATATAATTACCACAGTTGTTGAGACTTAGAAACATAAGATATAACTACATCTGTTACATTATTACAAATTTCTAAAAAAACAATTTATATTTTCATAAATTATTGCGCAAGGGACACTGTTTGTTCGCATAAAGAACTATCCCTTCTTTCTGTTAAAAAAAATTACGCTTAGAGAAAATTCTGAATAGCGTTTATCAACCATCCTGCTGCATGCGTGAATTACATATTTTTTGTTAGGAGCGTTTTGAGAAAAATGCCTCCTTTGATTTACTACTATTTGGAGTCGAACTAATATCATTTTGCGGCGTGAAAATAAAAGGACGAGTGTTCGAAATTTTGTTACATAACACTTGCTTTCGTTTTCACGCCTACAGAATGATTCCTTGGTTGTTCAAGTCTATCGAATTATGTACAAACGTAACTGACTTACATTGCATAATCGACGCAATTACGCATTATCGATTGTCTGCAATGCAATTTCGCGTAAACACGGAAAGAAGATATGCAGTGTGTAAAAACGAAAAGAAGGAAACGTGTCTCCATTTGCGAGAACGCGCTTAATTCGGATATATACGATAATGCACCCTTAGGAAAATTTACTTTAGACTGGCCTAAAGTTTTTTAAAGTTTTGTTTAGTAACTTTAAAAATTTGAAAAGTTCTTTTAAGTAACTATAAAAATTTTTAAGTTTCGTTTAGGTTATTTCAGAGTTTTAAAAATATCCTTGAGTTCTTTAATTATTGAAGACATAAAGTTCATGAAAAGTATCTAAAAGTTTATGTGAAGTAACTTAATGGTGTTTAGTAATTTAAAGTTGGCCTTGAAGTTACTTTACACAAACTTTTACTTACTTTTACGCCAACTTTAAGTTACTAAACACCACCATTAAATTATTTCATATAAACTTTTAGATACTTTTCATGAACTTTATGTCTTCAATAACTAAAAAGCAAAAACTCAAGGATATTTTTAAAACTCTGGAATAACTTAAACAAAACTTAAAAATTTTTAGTTACTTAAAAGAACTCTTCAAATTTTTAAAGTTACTGAACAAAACTTTAATAAACTTCAGATCAGTCTAAAGTAAATTTTTCTAAGAGTGGCGACTGGTCCAGCTATACATCCTCACTCACCGATAAATAATCGAGTCTAGCATCTCTGGCAGTTTTTTATGAGACCTTTCCACGCAAAGAGCTTTATGGCATTGCGTCAGATCTGTACTGTACTTCTTGGCGCATTTCTCTTTGTTTGTTTATAAGCGTGTACATTCTTTGTAATTGTAAATGAAAAAGACATTTCATTGTTAAGCGCTCGTGTCTTTCTTGCTCTGCATCCAGTTAATTTATCCTCCCAAGTGTGTTTCCTCCTTTTTCAACACAATTATCTTCTAAATCGATATCTTTACTCATTTTCTAAAAATACAGAATTATGAGATACAGAGTTTTCATGTCATTGAAATCTGAAATAAAAAAAAGAATCAATAGAAGTGTAAAATTGTGAATTCCTACTTTTGAAATAAAATATCAGATTTATTACATTTTTTCTATTTCTATTATTATTGTCATCAGAAAACATTGTGTGTTATTGTGGACATTTACCATTTTTTAAATTGGTATAAAATATAAAAGATCGTCAGGAACTATGCTTATTTTGACTGACTCTTATCCGAATCTAATTCACAATTTTTTGAATCACTGTGTATATATAACCGCAGTATGTGAGCTCAGGTCCGTGGATTTGCTAAGTTCAAATAATTGTGCGGTTCAGTCATTCTTGCGGATTTGACATTTACAATTTAAAACAGAAAGTAAACATCATCTAGTGGTTACGTAACAACTAAGTCATCGAAGTGCAGCTGATAATAGCATACGTAATTAGCGGTACATACAAAACCGCACATATCTAATATTTTATATATCTACATATTTAAAACTGCATATATCTAACAAAAAGTTTATTCATAATTCCACTCCACAGCCAACTGTGTTCGAGATGCACATGTGATGATCTGTCAAAAGCTTGCCGCATTCTTTTTTTTCATCACATAAGAAAAATTTTTCCAGTCTAATTTCTTTTCGAAATGTCCGACAGTCTCATGACACGTTAACCTACTGAAAAATTCATTATGACGAAAAAGCTGCAAATAGTGCGGGTGGATAATGATCTCGTGCAAAAGGCGACTTTGCAGATCGGCAATAACATCATTGGCCGAGGTGCTGCAACGGGAGTGAGTTGCATCTATTTCTATACACTGATTGCATTGCATTTTATTACATTCGTTTTTTCTAACGTTATTATACAATAATCATTTTAAAAAAATGTGAATATTCTTAATAATTAAAAATCTTGAATATCCGAACAAATAAATTTTTTTATCTTAAAACTTTAGCAAATAATAATTTGACGATAAAGATATCAAATATTCTTCTTTGTTTCTAAACAAATTTTCTGAATTGTAAAAATATTGCATGATCAAAATAATTTAAAGAGCAGTCGATAAAAGTTGCTTTGTAGTTTTCTTTAGAGCCACCAGGTCGGTTTAAAAATTTATTCCAGATTGTGCATATCTTTAATACTATTTTGTCGATGACAGAATTTAACTGTCACGCGGCGCAATTAATCTTGTGTTATAGTTAATAAACTTGCGATACTTTGATTCGTATTTTAATATTGAAAAATACCTATTTTTAGACATCTTTATCAATCGGATATTATACATATATAATAAGAGCAATTAAACCATGATACATAAATGAGAAGATAAGCAAGCAGTTAGTAAAATATAAATAACAGAGTGTTGGGACAATTATTGCTTCATTAATTATTGCTGATGACACATATCACTATACATGTTAATTTAACAGAAGATTAATTTTTACATACTGTGACACATTGTTATTGCAGTGTAATGATGGGCAGGTGCTGAAACACGCTGTGACCATCAATTTATCGCCCAATGATGAAATGACAATTACTCCGGTAAAATTTTTATCTTGTCTATCTTATCACATGCTGATGCTTTGATAAATGATGATTGTAATTAATTTCTGTGATAATTTATAGTATACAATAATAAGTTATTCATTTAGACCAATATCTTTATCAATTTTATAAAAATTTGTGACTATATATGAGCTTATTTCTTTTTTGCAATGTGCTCAGCAATATTGTTGCAATATTCTTGTTGATGTAATCAGTTTTCTATAGAGATCATTTTTCAGTATATTAGGTGGCACCATGTTACATGAAATCCGCTGGATGTGCAAAATGGCAATCTCTTAAATCAGGAAGTCGTGTGCCTATAAAGCCAGGTGACGTCTGCTCTCTACTGCCTGACAAATGTTGGTTTAAGGTTATCTCAGTGCCAGACACAATGGAAGAGAATGATCAGATATTAAAGAGAAAAGTACGAGTATTTGCTGTTATTTGAAAGGAGTTCTTTACAACATATTAGTTCTTTGTGTTTTAGGTTGATGAAGATTCAAGTAACGAAGCAGACAGTAAGAAAGCATGCTTGTCATCCAGCACAGAAGCTGTTGTGTCCCCTAGTGAAACGTTGAATATTCTTAATGATAAGGATTTATTAACTAAACATGAGAATTTTCCCATTAATGGAAACGCGGAACCCGATATACTTGTGCCAGTCTTACAGGAGATTTATTCTGCAAGGTTTTATTTCAATTGTATTCAAACTAAAATCTTCAATAATGCAAATATAGTTGTTTACCATGTTTTTCTCTATATATTTTAGCTGTCCGGAGGGAAGTAATATGCCTGCAACTAGTTCTAAAATGTCAATAGATTTTCAAGACGCAATTGAATCTTTTGTGGAGCATGAGAATACAAAACAAAAAGCAGAGAATATTAATTTAACAAATGAAACTGCAACAGATTCAATAGACGCTGAATCCGTTGAAAAGAAAATCAAATGGGATGGCAATGCTCGCTTCAGTGATCGGGCTGAAGCAGCTTCTGTCGGTGATCGAGCTGAAGCAGCTTCAGCTTCAGTTCCAGTTCCACAGAACGATTCTCAATCGCCAGTTGTCGCGCCTCGGAAACGAAAAAATGCACCAAAACCTGACAGAGTTCCTAGAGAAAAGTGCAAGTACGGCACTCAATGTTACCGGTAGGTCAATGCAATACAGTTTTTTGCAAAAGAATGAAATATTTTTAATAAATTTTTTTGCAGGAAGAATTCCAATCACAAAACCAATTACAGCCATCCGGGCGATCGCGATTACGATGAAGTCGACAATCGAGTAGAGTGTCCATATGGTGTGAAGTGCTATCGTAAGAATCCACAGCACAGGGCTCAATATAAGCACACGATTGTGTCGCGTCGTCGTCGAAAAGCTACCATTCCCGTGCCTTCAGCGACTGTCGATACACCTGAAACAGACCATTCGTCCGCGGAAGAATCCGTAGACGAGTCCGATTACGAACCATCCGTGTACACGGAGAGTTCGGACGATTGGGACGATAGCAGGAGCGAGTGGGAAGATGGCACAACCGGCTGACCAAAGATTTACTGGTCTTCTCATGTCATCGTCCATTTCTATGTCATTTTTGAGAACGTTCAAATTATAAGATACGTTTATTATAGTATATAATACAGATATTTTATTATGAAATATTTATTTTTATATTTGAACTGAAGTATTGTACCTGTATTCTTATAATGTGAAGAGAGGTATAAAAATGTTAAGAATATATCACAACTGACTTTGTTCTTTCGCATTTTGTCGGAAAGTATTATGAGATAAGAATACATTAATGAGAAGAGAAAGAAATGCGGTGTGAAATGTGATACAGTTCTTGTCTAAATAATACTTAACATAATCTTCCGTCTTATGACGTTTTATATATTATAAAAAAATTTAGTATGGTTATCATTGAGTTATTAAACAAAATAAATTTTTTTTTCTCTACCAGTTAATTCACTTATAAAATATTCTGTCAACTGTTTCTGTCTTTAATTATAAATAAATCTTAATAAATAAAAATCATCCGTGTTAAGTATCGCATTAAAACGCCTGATAGCCCTCATCGTCCTCGGCGGTGTACTCTTCAGCTACCACGATAGCCACATCTGCCAGCATATGCTTCGGGATCTCTGATCCTCGTACTTTGATAGTGTAACACGCATTCTCCATTTTGGTCAAACTCTGTTTGAGCATGATGACTTTTTTGTTCATCTCGTTGCTGTACGCTACGCTCGTGTATCCCAGGAAAGCTATATATATCTTCCTAACAAAGTTACACGTCTGATAGCAACTGCTTATGTCACCTATCGCCAAGTTATTGATGCACTTCCGCATCAGTTCTCCAGTCAGATCGGCTATCCCTAGTATATAGTCTGTCGGTGTGACCATAACTTGTGTCGTCTTGGTAGCATCTTGATTTGTCGAATCAGCTGGAGTCGGACTATTGCAATAAGTCAAGGCCTGCTGCAACTTGGTCCATTTGTGCATATCTCCATTCAGCAAATACTCGTGGAATGTAAGTGCCTCTACGTATTCTTCTAGGCCGGCACGGTAGGCTCTATGAAACTGATAAGCATCCTGACCATCCAACTCTTCTGCAATATTTTTGAATAACTTTTGAACCAAGTTGTCGAGCCTCGACTTGGCTGCACTCAACACAGTATTTTTTTTACTCTCCTTGTCAATGGTGTGCAACAAGAAGATTATTCTCTTGCTTTCGATTCCCACATCTCGATTAATCTTGAAGATTCTCTCATAGCGATCATGCTTGGCGTCCAGTTCAGCTGCATATGTACGAAACTGTTGTATTACGAGACTGTTCTCATTTATGTTTTCCATCACCTCTTTACCCTTGTCACCAAGACCGACTTTGTCCTTATCATAACGTCCACGATTTCTCCTCCCTCCTGCAAATACAGCAACAATGAAGAAAAACAATTCTTACAATGGCAAAGAATAGAATATCAATGAATTATCAATTACTTAAATCTCAATGATCTAATACTCAATTAAATAAAGATTTCAGAAAATATAATTATTAGTTTTTTTTTTTAATTAAAAGGTTTGTTGCACAATGCAAAATTGAAAGGTTTATTTACAATAACTTTTCTTCAAAAATTTGAAAGAATTAATTTAAATACAGATTTCTTAACCTTAAAATTAATTTTTTTAAAGTTCTTAAGAAGTAGATTTACTATTTTTGTTACAAATATGTGAAAGTAAGTCGGTGACAGCTGTACGTTTTCACGTGGAATTGACATTTGTTGACAAATAAACTATAATGTAACACAACAAAAAAGGACATTATGTAGCATTATAATTAGCAGCTTACCTTTTCCTTGTGACATCGTGATCTTTTTTGACAATTTCGATTAAACTGCTTATTAAGAGTGATACTGAGTGCATGAGTCGATTGTGATTATTCTTGCATATAATCTTAGCAGACGATTTTTAGTATGATCAGCAACTGATGTTTTCCATCTTTGCGAGAATCTCAATGCTGCGACTGTGGTGCCTCGTAGTAGATTTCATCGGAACTAAAAAGTCTGTCTGGCTTGATATTTAATTGTACTACTGAAAAAAATCTGGCCGACTTATTATCCGACTTATAACGCAATCTATTTAATTAACTATAATTAATTAATTAAAGCATTAATAGTAAAATACTTAATTAACCATCAGCCGGTTAATTAGAATGCCGATAATAAAACAGATAGTTGATTATTTAGATTGTTAATTTTTTTTATTTTAACAAATCTGCTACAAACTACTACAATCACTATGTTTAAATCAAGATTGTTGTAAGAGTCAATAATAAATCACATGTATATTTTGCAGTAATACTTCAATATCGAATCTGGATTTTTTTTTACTACACATCTCCGATCATGTTTTTCACTCTTCATCACAATATATCTCTCATTGATGGATTGAGTAAATTTTTTTTTATTGACTACGGATGTGAAAGCAATAAACACTCCGGAAACGATGAGACATTCATGGCTATGTAATAAATATTTCTTAGGTGTGATAAAACATCTGTAACCATAGGTGATAAATTAGAAGTGACAAGAGAGAATTTATGAAATTTCAATTAATTTCAATTAATGTTTAATAGAGAGAATTTATACAGACTTAACTTATAATGCAATAAATACTGTATCTTTTTGGATCATGCGTTGCAATACTAATATTGTACAAATTCTTTTTTCTTGTTGAAATTTTAAGGTCTTGTTTCATTTGCGACTGTCTTATGCAATTCAATTACTTCTCATATTTACGATGTTCAAAATATTTAAATCAAACTTCATGAAAATCAAAAATTGAATTTCAAATCCTCTTCTCTAAAATATTTGTCAGTCATTTATTAACAATATTTGTATATATACCACCAAACAAACATGTGTAGTTCTGAATCCATTGACCGCAAATATCGAATGAACGAAGACCGGACAGCAAGATTGAGGATAGTGGTCAGGGTTGAACACAATGCTCGTACGGAATTCAAAGGGAGTGAGAGACCAGGGGAATGGTTTGGAATTAATCAGTACTGGTCTTCAGTAAATAGTCGTAACGAGGATCCTTCGGTCAACTTGCAATGCTCTCTAAGAATTTAAGCAAGGACCATACATATCGAGACTGAATTGTAACTGCATTCGCAATAGATTACACAAAGATATCAGTCGTTTAACTTGTCACAACATTCTTCTGCAACAACAAACCAAAAATTGAAATCAATAAAATTTGATTTATAAAATACTGTATTCGCAAGTTACTTTCTTGGAATTAAAAGTTGCCCTTATAATTGTTTACTGCTTTATATTCCTTTTTTTCATACACAATATCAGCTTATTTTTAATCATTTTAATATAAATTTAGAATTTATATATGTTATAACAAATTTCTTTGTATTTGTATTATTAATTTTAAAAATTGTTTCTAAAAAGAAATAGTAGTTTACAATGAAATCGATTGCGTATAAATGTTTTGTTGCAAATATTTGGTATCAATTATTAACTATTTGACTAATTGGCAGAATGAAAATGGATAGGCAGTTATACACGAATTGTTTGTTTGAGCTATAGCATATTATTGATATTATATAATATGACAACAAATTTAATAAAATTATGCTTCATATTACGCTCAATTCTCTTCCTCCCCTCTCTCTCTTTATTCTCCCTTTCAATGTATCAGGCGACGCGGAAGTATTTTTCATCTGAAGCAAAATTTATAAAGGGGATACATAATACATTCATAATATGTATATGTATATGTATGTAACTCCATTCAAGCATTATATAGTAGATCACTCAGTGGGTAGTATAAATGTGCGAAAAATATGCACAGATTTTTTGTTCTAATTAACTTAATGCGCTTAATTTTCTTCGTTATATAGTGTACTTTAATTAAACAAGTAAATAGTCAAAAAAAAAAAAAAAGAAAAGAAAAGAAAAATAACCCATTTTTCCACTTTTAATATAAATATTTCATGCTCAATATTTTCGATCATGAAACACCTGACTGAAGAAAACAGAATTATTTCTGGGTGAACGGTCGCTATCTTTACACCCCCCCCCCCCCCAGCCCGCCGGTTCCGCCAGCAATGTATAATTCTTGATAGAATCATTAAACAAGAAATAATTTCTTTCTTCAGATTTTTTGTAATTAATCGTCGAATAAAATTGTAAATGTAAAAAACTAATTAAAATAATAAGCTGCTTGGAAATAATATTATAAAAAGTAATAATCGTTGTAGCGTTAATTAGCTATCTTCTTAAATAATAAATTACTAAAAAAATCATTAACCAATTAAAAATAATAATTAAAATTATTAACATTAGTTATTTATTATAATTTGCTGTATCTGAAATTTATTTAATACACACGTCTTCATCTCTCTCTTTCTCTCATTATGTATTATATCTATTACGATATTTTATTGTAATATTAATCACAATGAACTATCAGGCAATAAGTTAAGTTACTTGGCCGCTCGTAGCTTGATATTACGCGTAATTCCCAGAGGCTTTTTACACTCCACAGCCCAAGAACAAATCGCCATTCGACTATCGACACTGGGATTTTTCCGTGCGACATTTGTAGACCACCTCTGATCCCTTAATCTCTGTGATAAGAAAAAATTAGAAGAGCAGCTGCATCTTTGCGGATAGAATCAGGCAGAAGTAAATTACTACGGTTGTCTGATCAATCCATTCTATCGATTTTGGCTTTATAGGATCTTTTTTCGAGTGACAGACCATTCGTTCAATGATTGCGGTTGTATCGCAGCCGAGATTGATAAACGCACTCTCCAATTAGCGTTTCATGCGCAGCGCTGTTCCGCGTATAAATTATCTTTAGCCAGTTTTGAGGGAAACTTTGCGCTGACTTCCTTTCGCCGATGATTTATGCTCACACCGTTTAACAAAGTTTTTATTCGCGGTCGAAGTTGTAAAGATGATTTATACGCTCTCCCTGGATTTTACGGGATTTCGCTTCGATGTAAAAATGCTCGCGGCATTTGATGCTGCCTTTGTGGCAATCGTACGTGGAATAAGAATGCGTTCCTTTCAAAGTACTGAGAATACTACAATACCGTAGAATTTTTGCATATCTGAGAGTTTTTGATGTCCTTTAAAATATTGCAAATGCCTTATGCAAATGAGCGATACATGCTTACATTAGGCTACAATTGAGCACGCGCAAAAACATTCGTCGCAATCAAGACAATAATTTCAATATTAATAATAGAAAAAATATTTCAGAAAAGTTTCTAATAATATTTGCTCATTAGCATTACAATAGAAATAATCAAGTATTTATTTTTTTATTTTATATTGTAGATAATAAATTAACAATTCTGATTCCTGTAATAATTGTTAATATAAACATATATTATGGATTTTGATATTCATAATCAGTAATAAAGTATATAATTTTTCTACGAATACTTTTCTAATATACTTTGCTAATATTCCGCTTTTTAAGACCGAGACGAGCTTCAGATCATGCATCTTCCGGAGAAGTTACTCGCGACGACATGTAAGTTACACGAAGAGTTCCGAGCATGTAAATGTACGGTGACAGGCACTCGCGATGATTGCTGACTGAGTTTGTGCGCGCGAACTTAAACGGACGCGGCCAAACGTGAAATCATAAAAGTTTCAGTTCGACGGAGATGTAAGGGCAGAGCGAAGGTGCCATTCAAAGCAGAGATATAAGCGAGCCAGTGTCACGAATTTGTCGCAGTATATTTTAAGGCGTAATCACTCGGAGGATTAAACTCTCGCTCGAATCTTCCAAATTCGTTATTTGAGTTCGGTCTTGATCCTCGCGCGACTTATTCGTCTAACTTCTTCGAAAGAAGTATCTTTTCACGTGTGATTTCGGGACGTTTACCTCACTGCAGAAAAAAGCGAGAGAGAGAAAGAGAGATCAGAGAGAATTTTATTCTATTTTCTCTTTCGGATAAATTATCAAAGAGAAAAATTTTTTGCTTTATTCTCCGATATTAGAATAATTTTTTTTCTAAAATTCTGCACAATAGAAAAACAAAAGAAATTTTATTAACCTTTGCTATCATAATAAAGATTTTAATATTAAAGTTGAATGGCATTTTTTTGTCATATCTCATGGAAAAGGACCTTGTGATAGCGTTGAAGATACAGTAAAACGCCTAGCAGCAAGAACCAATCTTCAGCGAACGGGATTCAAGGAATAAATATTGACACTTAAAGATTTATACAATTGGGCCAAAAATAATTTTCAAGAAATTGCATTTTTTTATACTACGCAAGAACAACATAAGGAAATAGAAAATAATTTGAAAGAACGATTTGATAAAGCACGGACAATAAAAAGAACATTAACATTGCACGCTTGTAATCCATTATCGAAGACAAAACTTGCAACAAAATTATATTCTTATCAAACAGAATATCAGACAGACTTCATCTCTAATAAATAAAATCCGAATCGTCATAATAAGAGGACAACATATCAGAATGAAATTCAAAAAAAATATGTAAAAATAATAAAGATATAATTTTCTTATATACGTATTATTTTATCTTAAAAACTATCTTACATATTATTTCAGAAGTTCCGCGATTTATATCTTATTGTACTAACGTCGCATCTTTTTGGCGAGCCTCTCTGACGCGCGAGAAACCGCACGCAATGTGGAATTTAATTTTTTTCGAAACGTTCCCAAAAACATCACACTTTCTGCCTGAACTCATTTAAAAGGTATTAAATCAAGGAATATTACAACATTTTTTAAAATTTGGAATTTTGTGGGGAAGAGGTTAAAAAATAAAATAAAGTATTCAAATACATATTTTTTGTAAAAATGTTATATTATTGAAAAATTTGTTTAGTCACGTATAAAATGTGATAAATCCGTTTTAAAATTAGTGGTCGCAGAATTCTCTATCTTAAACCGTTTGGAAGTTATAGCGTTCTAAAGGTATCGTGACTTAGGAATTCGC